CCATTGTTATGGCGTAATTGCGAACGCCGTCACGAGATGAGCTGAAAAATGAACACTTTTTATAATAATTCAATGTTTACTTAAACTTTTATTTCGATTGAATGAATGCGGTGTGAATGCGCGCTGCGCACAGGATCGTGCATTCTTTTGCGCATTCAAAGGTGCTATATGTGTGTAACGATCGTAAATTGTTCATTTTTACGATCGACAATGGAGCCGTTTAACTGTTTGATTTTCGCCTTACCTCGTCATTTCTTCATTATTCGGGGTAATTGCCAGTTTTTAATATAAATTATTACTTGTTGCTCGGTTTGCTGTTACATTGTATATCCCCCGATGGCATTGGTTTTCTTCTGAAGCATTGCTTGGCATTGGTTGGCTGAAGTTTTGCCTGAACCAAGAGAATAATGTCTTGAAAAAATGATTGTCTTCAAAACGACACGTACGGAGGATATATGCGCAGTTGCAATTATATTCAGTGAATATTATTCACATCCATGATGAGTTCAATGGAACTCAAGATTCTTTAGAAGAAAATCGTTACTTCAGGCAAAAGACTCAAAACCAAAAGAAACTGCTTTTAAAATATGCACAAAAAGATTGGCTCGTAAACTACGTAATTGATTCGCGCATTTTCATTATCAAGAGTGACAACGTTCAATTTTTCAGAAATCCATATAAAAACCATTTTTTCGTCACTTGGACTATCAGCTCAGAGACGTCGTGTTTTTATTGCACTTGAAAAGTGTGAGCGATTTTTTTTCAACCGCTTCGAAAAACTTTATAATTTTTTGATCGTAAATTACGGAATTATCATTATCGCCACTGACATTGACTTATCATTATGTTCACTCTAAAAAAAATCACGAATTATTGGCAATTTTCGCTTGGGAAATCAACCACACGACTGTCGATAGTATCGACTCGATACTTTTTATACATTCTCGACATTATTATTCAGCCATTTAATTTATTGTCGTGAAATATTGATGGGAATTTGCTTCCCTTTCTCTTTTCTGGTAAGAAGAATTTTAAGATACAAAAAATCACATGTGATGTCTAGTCGAATCATTTAACTCAGATGCGTTATCTTATTCGAGTTTGGAGTCTTTTCGTATTCTAGTCAATATTTTCGACTCAAATGAATTCAATTTGAAACCAAAGTATTGAATTCAATTCACTTTGCTGTTCAAAATAATGTTGAACAGCCAATTTAGCACCAAAGACTGTGTTTTTAATTGATTAAGCAAACAAATGGCCATTTTGACCACAATCAAGTTGTTCCAAATCCAAAGAACGGAAAAAAATTCAAATTTCTTTCAATTTCTCAGGTTGTCGCACAATTATTTGCTCCCTGATGTCAAATTTTGTCTCAATGCGTATTCATTTATCGTTTGTTGCATCAACGTCATTCTGAAATATGCAATTTTTCCTCAAACATTGCATCAGACTCTGTAATTATCATCATTTTTCAACATGACTTGTTAAACAAGTCGCCTATTGAATCAAAACGCAACATCATTTTGTATCAAAATTATCGTTCGGTTCAACAACACTGGAGATCACTTCAAATCAGAATTGTTTAGACAGAGTTAATTATTCTGAGAAAAGAAGCAAGTGCAAATCGCTCGTGCTTGCCAATCCAACCTGTGTGTTCAGATTGCATGTCCAAACCTGCGCTCTGCTTATTGTCTAGGTTCAACCACAAAGAATGCACTTTTTCCATATAATAATTATAAATTAGAAGTCGCGCGTAAGAATGGTGCATTCTAATTTTGTCTAATTAATGCAATAAACAAGTAGCATGAGGCGAGTGTTGATCACGCGGCTGCCGTTTGTTTTTCGCGACATGAAAATACGCAAACAATCAGAATGTAAATATAAAATCAGAGGAAGCGACGAACTTGATGGAATTCCGCAAAAAAAGAATGAGTGGATCAGACACGAGAGGAATTAACATATTTGCCGTCATTTACCTTCATTTCAAACGCGATTTAATTATATCCGTAAACGAAATGTGCAAAGGAAAAGATGTTTCGGTTCAAAGTATTCAATGGCATCTGCGCACACAAACGAGACTGTTGAGAGATAAGTCGAAAAAAAGACGATTAAAATCACGTCTATTCAATAGAATAATTGCTAATATGTAGAAGACTGCACATATGCACTCAATACGGTTCGTCTGAATGCTCAATCATGACTCATCGAAAGAATACATACAAAAAAAAAACTTTTCGACGGTCAACGACAGAGAGAAAGATGACGTGCAATCACAGAACCATGACCCTCTCACTCTTGAGTAGGCATTCGAAAAGATATTAGAATTTATAATATGGTGCGTGTTTGGCAGAGATGAGTAATGTAACCATAGGTAAGTATTATTTTAGCCAAAGAAATGCAATAATATGTGCAACAAACGGGCAAAACAAGAAGTGTACTATTGCAACAATAGAAGATGAGCCGCAGCAACGATGGCATGCAACAAGTTGAAAAAGAAAGAACATGTTGGCGTTCATTGTCTGCATTCGACTTAATCTATAATTATGATTCGGAAGTTTAACAACGAGTAGAAAACTGCACATATGCGGCTGTTTGTAAAAAAACTGCGCTTTGTTCAATCCAATTTCTGCTGCTGCATTTGCTAATTAATAATTACTTGCATGCAATAGAATGTAGACCATATAATAATTTTTACCGTTGCAATTTTGCACCGTATCGGACATGTCTGTACCTGTTTGGCTGTGCCTGATGAAACACACCAGCGCGATGACTCATTTTGTCAGCTAGAGAATATAGCAATCTGTTCGAGTCATTCGATTCTTCCATCTCTTTCGTCTCTTTTGCGCCATTCTCTCCCATCTCTTTGGAGCCATTCGGGCTATTCATCTCTCCCATCTCTTTCGAACCATTCGCCTCGTTCGCTTCTCTTTCGATGGTTTCGTTTCGTAAGAAAAGTGCAATTATTCATAGGTAAACTATGTTTACCAGAGCGAGTCGATATTAGTCATGTTCAGGTCATTTGTAAAGCTGTTGATCGTTTTTTTTTTGTCTGTGTAAGCAATGCATTCTTGTATGAAACGGTTAGAAGGAGAATCGAGCCCTTTTGGAATTTAAATATTATTCAGTTATAACTGAACATAGGTATATCTGTTACACAATTCAGTTATACATAAATCGACGGCATGAATTGTAATAAATATTTCTAAAGTACGTGACGGATGGAATATGTCAAGACGATGGTTTCTCTTTTTGATTTGTGACTCATGGCATGTGAACGACAAAATGCTCCTTTTTTCACTGGAATCATAAAATATGTCTATTTATAAAATTTCGGTTATATGGAATCGGTCGCAATCGTCACAATAGAATTCAATTTGATGGTATTTTTTTATTTGAGTGCGAGCAGTATGAACAGTACGAGCCGAACATAGCTTAACTTGCTTTCAAGTCGTTGCATCGAAGATTTGTCGTTTTCTTCGGTAAAATAAATGACGGTAAAATTTCTTAATCAAGAAATATTCAACTCGTTTAGATGCTAGAGATAAAAACATCAAGTGTCCGACCACCACCACCCAACAATTGAGCAAGCCAAACCAATGATTCTTTATCTATGAATTTTTCGGTTTCATTTGAGAACGAAATTATTTGAATATTTTATGGCTCACTGTGTGTCTTGTGCTCAATGGGAAAATTAACATATTTCGGGTTAAATCTTGAATGACTCTTTCATACCGTACCGCAATCATTAAGCGGTTAACTTATGGCCAAATGATATGACGTGGAAAAAATGCCATCCTTTTTGGAAAACGTGCGCTTCATTGCACTCAGCTGAAAAAGAGAAAGAGAAAGAGAAAGAGAGAGAGAGAGAAGGAGAGAAGCTCTGTTGAGAGAAAAAGAGAGAAGCATAGGTCAGGCAGCGGGAGCAAGAGCGAGAACAAGAGCAAGAATGAGAGTCAGAGAGTTAGAGAGAGAAAGAGAGATAGGAAAAAGATAGGAAAAAAGAGAGATAGATAGATCGAAAAATTAAACGTGCTGCAGCCCATAAAATATTCAAGCGATTGTCAAAATGCAATGAAGACAGTTCAAGTGGAAAGTATACGCAAGCGAAAACTCATCCATAAATTATAGTTTTACACTAAAAACCCATAAAATCATATAATTTCATTTCCATTTTTTCAGTTTTTCTTGTTGGACTCAACGTGGTGGATTCACTGAACTACACCACCTACAATTGATTACGTTCACATTCGCTGAGAAGATAGAGCATCTATCATAAATGCGATCAACCGACGCATCGAGCGAGCGAATGAAGTGATGAGGAAATACCAATAAAACACGAGAACGAACAATAAAACTCAACGTTTGGTTAGCACATTATTCATTTGATGGTGCATTTTCGGGTGCAATGACAGCATGACAACGGCTTGGTGCATTTGGAAAAATTTATCCCGAAATTGAAATCACTTTTGACTCAAAGTCATAAAACTAAAGTTATCGGTGCGATTCTAGGAAATAACATCACGTTTTGATTATGGTCTTTCTTGATATGATAGTTGAACATTTAGTTTTTTTTTTCATCTTTTATGATGAAATTCCTATGCATGAGGTCTGCTACTGATAGAAATTGAGAAATAGATTGAAGCTTGTCTCATCTCCAATTTAATCGTACGGAAATAGTCTCTTTTTTTCAGTTTCAGCGACTGTTCTTCTTCTTCTTCTCCTTCCAAAAGGAAAAAGAAGAATTCGTCTCTTTTAATGGCAAATTTTTCCAAATGATTTTATTGAAGGCATTTCTTTCATCTTGTGTTGGTTGATGTTGAGACATCATTTCATTTTTTTAACACACAATTTTGCGCTCGTCAATCAATCGCTCGTGTGAGCTTGTTAAAACAGTTGTGCAAAAAAATGAAACAAATATTCCGATGGAATTCACGGTGAGATTACAGGTTTCAAAATTGATATTTATTAGTTTCACCTTTGTATATAAGGCATTGAGGCAATGCCTCATTATTGCCAGGCATACAACGCTCCAATTTGCAATTCATTAGTTGAGCTCTGAAAGTCAATTTGAACGTTGGTGGTTTGGGAATTGTTCGAATTAGTTCTATTCTAAGTGATGTTAATCTTTTGTTGGTGACATTTTTAACAAATGTTAAACTGTTTTGAGTTTTGTTTGAAAGATAAAAGTAAGAATAGAAAGCAAGAAATGAAATTTTTGCACAGCGTGTTGATTGTACTTGTTAGTTTATGTGTAAAGTGTGATTGTGACGATGGATGGCAAATCAGAGCAAAAGAGTGAGTTTGAATTTTCAACTATGTATTTTGCGAAGTCCAAAATAAATTCATAATTTGAATACAGTGTACAGTGTACTGTGTACAAAGCACGTCCAAAAATGGAATATTTAGTCAAAACAAACGATTTTGAAGTTCAAAATGTGAACGTATCTCAATTTTCATACCAGATTTGCGTATTCATATGTTTGTTTAAATATTTTGAAACGGAACGTTTTGCTATATTCAGTACTGTCTGAATGTTCCTAAAATAACATTCCTTTCATACGTGAACAGCTGGTAACCAGCTGTTGAGATGTTGTTCAACGCAAGCAATATTGCGAGTCACACAATTGGCAACTGTTTCGAACCGCTTGGGAAAAGTCGTTTAAAAATACTTGTCAGTGTATCAAAAACGTTTTATTGATTCATTAAAATGCGTTTCTTTTTTCTCAGAGTTGAAGACAAATTTGAATGGCTCGGTAGAAAGGCCAAGACAAAAGACGATGCATTCCCGGATATTGAGAATATTTTGAATGAATGCAAAGCAAAATTGTAAGTGAATTCCGAGAGTCTTGATAACACCATTATAAATCAATAAAAAATGTCTTAAATTGACTTCTCTTGACGGTGAAACGACAATAAATGAATAAAATGTTACCCATTCTAAGTGATCTGATTTAAAATAAAAATTGTCATGTCAAATTGTTTAAAATTTTCGGTGAATTCCAGAGGGAAAAGTGCTCTAGACAAAGTCAATGCCGCAGTGGAATTGTTGAAACTATTATCGGTACTTCATGGCCGAGACCAATATTGTGGGTCCAATACTTTTATCGCTGATCAAACTTCCAAGGCCCACCAATTTTGGACGATTTACGCCGAATTGATGGAGAACATTGTGACAAATTCGCTCGATAACATTCAGGAGGCAATTTCGAATGAAGGCTCATACAAGTCAATTTTCAAGTGAGTGCACGTATTCCCATTTTTTGCTTTCGTATTTCGAGACTGTCGTCTGCTGTGATGAAAATATTTTAAATTAATTAACCAAACGAGCCTCAAAAAAAAGCTTCATCCGAAATTTAAATTAAATTAAACACGTTGGCAGATTGTCAGACGTCTACAGCCTTATAGACCAGTTGAATGGTTTAGTGAGAACAGCAATGGATACAGATTCAAGTTCGGATGACCTATTTGAACCGTTTGAATGGACAATTCCCGTGCTCATGGTCTTTCTTGAAGATGCACTGCAATCATCGGAGTTTGAAACGTGAGTAATATTTGAACAGAATTCGCTGGTGTAGAAAATTACGATCAAACGTGCCAATGTCGTGAAAATTGTTGAACTGAACTTTTTTAAGAACTGAAAATTTGCAATTTGAAAAAAGTCATCTCTTCCGCTTTTTTTTAGTTCACCATATTTTTCGGGACCAAGTTTACCTTTTATGGTCGAAACAGCCAACGCAATGGTTGCCATTGCTAATGGAGCAAATCAAAAGACCTATCAACCAAGATTCAACGCAAAAACATTTGAAAAATTACTCCAAGAAGAACCGACGGAGGAATCAAAACTCAAATGGCATAGGTTTCCTTTATCTTTTGAGTTTTTTTCTTAATTTGATTATCGGCAAATAAATTATAGACATTTTTTTTCTCTAATTTTGCGACTGTAATCGTTCTACATTGAACAGACGGAATTTCAAATTCTACACGCAAAACGAGCGAGATGTTTCTAAACAAGCGTATGCAGGCAATCGATCTGATATTCCAATTGTAGCTGCATTTTGTATATTACATCGAATTTCCGATGAAGGCTTTGATCTTAAGTAAGAACATGAAGTCAATTCTGGAATGTTGATCGAATTCGCAATTTAATCCTAAACTAAGGGCATGATTTTCGTCTCTTCACCACTTTTTTGTAGGAGTGCACTTGGCAGAGAGCAAATTCTAGACCTTTTTGCAATTGCCGAACTTCGTGAGACAAAAAGCCGGCCAATTCAGTATTTTACGGAGTGGTTAAGAAAGACCACTGATATTAGGTACTTCCCAATTTTACCAACAGAACATTCACCAAGTTTATTGCACTAAATCAACAGATTTTAAATCCATTAATCTATTTCTATAATAAATTTCATGAAAATCTTACTCATAAATTTTAAATAGTGACAATGAGATATTCGCACATTTAAATATATGCAAAGAAGCTCGAGAATTGCGTGACAGTGTAAGAGTTTTTATCAAAAGAACCGATCGATTTGAGATGAAATTTCAAACCGTTTCTGCAATTCTTATTTTTCATTTAGCAAATCGCATCATTTCCAATGGATCAATGCCTTAACAATACAGAATTATTGATGGCTCGTTTACGATTCGTTCCGATCAGCTGGGAACAAATCTATGGTCCTTTCGCCACTTTTTACTATCGATTGGTAAAACATGTTGTAGAAACAGATCAGTGGCTGAACTTTGAAGGATTCTTTGCTCACCTGAATAAAATGGGAGTGAAAATTGACGTTCGACCACCTGGATCAGAATATGAAGCCAATATGAAGGAAATTGAGTGAGTTGTTTTTCCTTTCGTGCAACTTGATATTTCTTTCGATTGCCATATTTTTCTGATTTGATACTTACTAGTATTACTTAGATTTTATCCACTTTTTATAGTTTTTGATTCTCATTCCAGAGAGTTGATGATCAAAGTGCTTTTAAGACTGAATGACGTCTCTAAAACACCAACGTCGTAAGACTCACATGCATTTTCTACTTTTTGGAATGTTTTAACACCTATTATTCAATTTTGAATGCATTAATGAATGAAATATGCCAAATCAAGCTGTTGATCGAAAATTTTCATACCAAAAATTATGAAATACTATTGCAGAATTGAAACTGGAACAACCTTAATATTCTCAATGTTGCTCTTTAATGCAGCAGATGAAGTTACTGATCTGGCTCCATTGGACGTATCTCCAGGAATTAAACATTCTGCTATGAAAGTCTTTAGATTGATTGTCGATTTAGTGCGAAGTGGTGAAATTGAATTATTTCAGAATAGTTCACTCTTCCGAGCGGAATTGCGTGAATTCATTAGAAACCTTTCTCGGATGGCCGATGAATTACTACCGTTGGTATCTCCTTGAAGCAGTTTTTTGATTTTTTTAAAATCATAAATGACTATTATTCGGATAAGAAGATGAAAAGCTGAATCTCCAATGGTCATAGATCTACAATGTCTTACATTAAATTCATCTGCTTCATCTTGTTCACAGGATAACTAGTGATGATTCTAGAATTTTGCGAGAACGAGTACCAGCAGATAGGAAAAGTGATCGGGCTTATTTCATTTTCTACATGAATATCGCCTATGGGTTTTCATTGACGTTCAAGCAAGTATTTTAGATTCTAAACAGCCATTCCAACAGAAGTATCAAATAATTTAAAGCGTTATAGGTTGAAACCTACCTATTAAAGAGTTTATTGACTCAATTGTAAAAAAAACTAATGCCATTCTTCCAACAGTGAAGATATTGTGACGACTAATATGATTGAATCGATGTTCAAACTGCAACCACTTCATTATGAACAAAGCGATGAGTCGATTGTTTACGAGAAGATTCAATTTCTCAGTTCATGTGGACGTCGAGTCGGTAAAATCATTGGGAAACACTTTGAACCAGAGTAATAATCCATTCATTACTAACAAACCTTTGAAATTTACAACAATATTCAAACTTCAACTTGATCATGATCCACTAACTATCGAACTTAATTTCATTCTCTAGGATTTTGATAACAAATTTCCGAGATCTTCTCCGCTGCTACACGTAAATCTACTTTCATTTCTTCTAAGATGATTTTTTTTTATTTTTCTGCCAACACTTTCTACCCTTGTTTTCACTGTTAATTTCTTCTGTATTTTCTTCAGAAAAATGGAATTTGTCCAACAATATACCCCTGAATATAAAGACTTCAACGTGTTGTACATGGACAAAATACGCTTTAAACGTGGCATCATTGAAGCATTGTATGCAATCATCGCTAACACAGAACATATATCTGAATTAAAAGAACACCAGAATATGATGAGACAGCTTAACTTAATCACTGACAGTTTTTTGCGAGAGAATTCAGCTGATTTGCCAAAAGATCTTGAGTTGCTATTTGCAAAAAGTAAAAAGAAATTGAAATAGATTTTTTTTATTCGGTCAAAGTCGTTATTGATATCAAATGAGAAGAAAAACTGTCAAAATCAATTTTCGTACCGAAAGTGAAAACACCATGCATTTTACGATGTCATTTCCAATTTTTATTTATAACTAAATTAAGGAAATAAATTTTTAAAATCATTTCTTATCTCTTTTGAACGTAATTTTTGTATAAAATCTTTTAAAACTGACTTTTGAACATTATTTTCCAATTGAGTTTCCACATATTCTGCATAATGTTCCAATATCAATGGGTTTTGACATTTGTTTAATTCGGTTGGATGTTTAATATTCACAATATTACTACCATCAATACCATTTTTACTCGCGTTATCGTTGCAATCCAAATATAAAATTCGCTTGTCTCATGCACAATTTATTACTTCTAAGTAATTCTTAGATATTTATGAGTTTCATAAAATAGTTTACAACACTTTGAGTGAATCTTATTCAAGAGAGCCACGGCTGATTTGGCTTATCAAATGAAAATACTTTGTTAAAATAAATTCTTGTGTCGAAGTGCAGTTTTCATTTGATATCAGTAGTTTTGTTAAGGAATTTTGCAACAAAACAAACAAACAACCTATGTTCTTCCACCCATTTAATAGTGAATTCGCAAATATTTGAAATCTAAACAAATAGTTTGAGGTAATTAGACTTTCTGTGCTGTCTCCGGGTGCGATTTATGAAAAGTTGCTACTAAAGATAAAAGCAAGGCTTTTTTCACAACCCAAACTGGGTGAATGTTCCATTTCATGTCTACTTTTCCACATATTTACTGCAATATTCGAATTGTTCGTTATGTATTGTGTATTGCATTTGCAATGCTACCTCAAAATGTAGACGTTTATTTGTTTATCGTATGCATTTCCGGAGCCGATGGAAAATTGAGCGATATTTCAACCGTTCGCTAGCTAATTTAGGCCTGGCTTTCCAAAATGTTTTCAATTTCGGTATTCTCCCTGGGCATATCCTCTGTAACAGTGTATTACTACATCCAAAGGTAAATAACTAATGATTCAATTTTCCTGTACCAACTGGAAAGATATGGTTTGAAACTGTAGCACAGTAACTGAAACCACAGATCCATTCGCATCCGGACATTTGCTATCAGCAAATTGCAGTTGAAAATCCAAATATTTGTCACTTACATATCTGACAAATTGTTCAATCGTTAATTATGCAAATATTTGTCATTTCAGATTTTGATTTATCGACGAATGACCGACTCTGCAAACGTACACAATTTCGAAATGAAATATGACGAGATGCAATGGTCAAATTCATACACGAATGTGTCTCATTTGCCGTACTGTATAGGGCTGACTCGAACGAGATAATCAAATCATATTTCTCTCAACGGTCGAATTATGAGCGAGAGAGAGAGAGAGAGAGAGAGTTGCCTTTAGAAAGAGCGCCGGAGCGCAATGCATGTTTCTTCTTTATTATCAGTGACTAATGAAGCACTCGTGTTTAATTTCGGATTTTAATATACGTGTAATAAATGTTTGGGTAGGTCGAGAACAAGAGCTTGCCGATTAACTTCAAACAAATGGGAATCTAATGCAAATGTAATGAAGAACCATTGCTCGACATGAGAGTTGCTGAGCGGTCCTCGACGATTGGACACGTCCGACGATTTTCTTTCGCCAATGCATTGGTGTTGTTTTTATTATAAATCGCCGGCGATAAATTTTGAAGTGCGTGTGTATGATGCATGGGCTCTTTAAAATTGAGAATGCGGTTGCATCGAAGCAATAAACTCATTAGAAATGACATTCGAAGCAATGGCGATACTTCATTAAATCGGATTAAAGTGAATGTATCTCTCTCTGTGTGTGTGTGTGTGTGTGTCATCCTAATACAATTTCGCCCATCGAGTCGCACATTTGCGTAGTTTTAACTCGATTACGCTCAACTCGCGACTACATTCGCTATCTATTTTTCAGACAAATTGATACCTTTCCGCTTTCCGATCGGTCATTATTCATGGGTCTGCCGTTCGGACGGTTTCTCGACAGGCACAACGAATGTCTAATCAACGACGCCCAAACCAATCAATTCAAACTGCAACCGTGCTCATAGGGACGCCAAATCGTTATGCAATTCTAAGCGCGCGATGGCTTTCAACTAACTCGAACGAAAATTATTTCAGACGCGCGAGAAAATGCAGATATATTAAAGCGAACAAATGGGATGAGACCGAAACGATGGATGCAATATACGACACATTTTGCTCCGGCAAATTCATTTTTGCTAACGATGACGGCGACTGGGAAACGGAGATTCATTTTTGCATGCGTTCACATTGGCAATCATAAAAGACGGTGCACTCATATAAGCCAAAGTAATTCAATAACCATGTTTTGAACATGGCTTCAAAGATGACTAATGAAGTGCGGATTATTACTTATGAATTATAAAATAAAGACCTCATGCTTCATAGCGTACATCTCGGGAGAGAGTGTTTCGAATATATAGCATTGGCCATTCGATAGAATAATCCTATATTACATTTCAATTTCGATGATGTCCACCAATTTCGTTCTTCGCAAACGAGAAGCATCGGCCTCACTCGAACTTCAATTATAGATTCAATCAAACAATCATTCGACGTGATTGAATGTATATGATTGCAGAATTAAATTCATAGATTGAATTCGTTCTCAGACAATTTTCCCATATTGAATATGTTAAGTGTTTAAAAACCTTCCTGAAGTATGAATTTCACATCAATATCAAACGAGCCGATGTCAATATATGCTAAAAATGTCCATGAAAAAAAGTTCTTCACTTTCAAGTGACTCAGCATAAAAAATGCAGAGAATATTCTAAATGCACAACAAGAGTCGATTGAAAAGCAAACATTTGATGATTGCTAATACCTTTTATGCAAATAAGATATCGATAGGCTGGAAAAAAACCCGTCTCGCCTCAAGGCTTCACACAATTTTTTTATTTACAATCCATCAATCACGCAAAATCTGGCGATAATTTGGGAATAGATTGTATATTATAATTATTTCGGGCGTTTAAACATAATGGGAAATTTAAAAGTTGAATTTTTGATAACCCGCCTCGCATCACAAACAGCGGCTCCCGTTTAGATGACGAAAAAAAAGGTTACAACACACGTCAAACAAAAGGACACCATTTAACATTCACCCGCTGTTTTTTCGCCGGTTTGAACTCGACATTGTTTCCCATTCACATTGTGGTGATGCATGGTGTTGAAGTAATCTTTCATCTCTGCGAAGACTCCAACTCGCACTCTTTTTCTCTCTTATTCACAAACGTTTTCTCTCTCTCTCCCTCTCGCTCTTTCTATTTGAGAGTGCTTCATTCTCTCCCTCAATGATAGTTACGATCTATATATGTTTCTATCATGAACTCTTGTCTTCTTTCTCTTTCTGTTTGCCTCTGTAGCTCCCGTTCTGGATTTGCTTCCTGTAGACTACTCTCATCTTCTCTCGTTCCCTCTCTCTCTCTATCAACAGACGACTCTCAATAACCAATTGAGAAAAGAGAAACATTTTTTCTCTCCCATTCTCTTCAATCTGTTTTTGTTCCCTTTCTATCCCAATCGACCATCCTCTTCAGTCTCCCATAGAAATTGCATAGTTATTTTGGGTTCATTGCGAGCAAAAATCAAATAGACGAACGTGAAAATGTGTGAAATCTGATACGAAAGCAGATTTCAATCGAGAACGGAGCGTATAGAAGTAATTAAATGTGGTAATAAACTGATGTGTTGGTCATAATAATGTGAAATTTGAAACAATCAGCCAAACAAAGGAAAGTAGAATCGAAAAAAAGGCGCGTATAGCATACACACACACACACACACAAAAAGTCACGTGGCTTGAGCCCGCATATTCTGCACCATTGTTGGTACAACTATTTAAACCGACTAAATCATCACATCGCACGAAAGGGTTACAATCAGATAGCCGCACTCTCTCCATTGGAAGAAACATATTGTCGAGTTTATTTAAGGCATTTTGATTCATCGTGTGAAAATGCACATTCACTACTTTAAACTCATTTAAATTCCGATTTGAAAGAAAAAATCTCCAACACGGCCGCTTGTAAAGCATAATTGATAAGTATTTGATTACACCGATCTCAAGCAGACTGACGCAGCAGAACACTGAATTGTGACTTTTCATTCCATTTCATTCGTTGGGAAAATATCGCACGACAAACCGAACATTTACCAAAAATTACACCCCTTCAATCAGATGCTCATTTGATATACTCTTTTTAATGATGCGCGTTTTTTGGGAGAGGTTTCAAATTTACACTTTTTTTTAATACGAAATCTTCTTTCTAATTAACATAAACTTAGTCAAATGTTTGACTAAAGGCTTCGATTTTTTGTTTTTTCAGACAATTTTGAGTTTTTTCGTGTTTTCAAAGGATTTTTCTTGTTTCAATTTGATACTTTCCAATTAAAGAATGAAAAAAATTGGAGTTTCAATCTCAAGAATAAAAAAAAATTCAAGATTTGAAATTTAAGAATGGATTGAAATTGAAAATTTAGGCTTGAAAAGGCGTTTATTTACCATGCATATCACCAGAGCATGCTGAAAAAAAACAGAACAGCAATAGCTCATTTAGCTTCAACTCATGAGCAACGACAACGCACTCAGTATTAAACCGATTCAAGCCAATTAAAAATGCAGTCGGACATTTGTCTAATTCAACAACGATGAATCATCGTCGATGATGGTCACAGTTTGTATATATTTTAAAGTACCAAAAAAAAACGGAAACATTTAAATGAGTACGGCACGCGGAGGAAGTTTTTTTCTTCCTTCTGAAGTCACGTGTTTATTCTCAAATGTATAACATTTCACTTTTCTATTCATTCATTTTGCTATTCATCTGTCAAACTACCGTTTCGATGGGTCCCATTGCATGTTCGTCCAGACGACGTACCAGCGTCGAATTTGCATATTGTCTAGCTTATAAGTGCGTGTCGAAGTGGACAGCATGGATGTAAATTCGTTTCATATGCCAATTGCCATGCACTTAAATCGGTAAAACATTTACCGAATTAAATGAAAACAAACTGGATTTTGGCGAATGGCAAAATGTTTCATGTCTCGAGACGTTTGTTGTGATTTAAAGCAAAATAC